TTGTTTGATGTGCTGAAAATTTATACCGAATAAGAAGGCGTACATGCAGTGTCGATCGTAATAATACATAATTATATCGTAATATGCGCCGGTGCTTTGAATAGATTTGGAATTTAGCCTATACCTGTAAATGGTATTAAATTTTAAATATTTATTTCTGACATACAGCCCATACATATAGATTGACATGCGCTGCTAAAATGTATACATGTACGCGTACCAGTATATAACCTCATGTGAACGCCGGCATCGATAACGTGATGAAGTTCTGTTAAATACGCATGCAAATATGTCTTCAAAAAACTTTGTAAAGAGCAGTAAAATAGGAAGAAGTATTTAAAGTGCAATAAGTATGATAAATTATGCATGGTGCGTTATAATATGCATGGCAAGACGTCTGCATGTTCATCTGCAATATTCAGCATTTTGATTTGTTCCTGCATGAGCGCGGTCGGTAACCTGCATTATTATATGGCTTTTCAAAATTCTCTATTCTGATTGGTTGACAAGCTGTCCGTAAAAACCCATATCCGAACCGTGGTCCGTATTTTCCGTATCTGGACCGGTGTCCTGGATGTCGCTTATCTGGCGGGAAATTTTTGCTTTGCAAACAGAAAAAATTTTTGCCTTTTAATTTTCCAATTGTGTGTCATTAAAATTTACAGATAAAAATTTCAAACAACCAAATTGTTTTTGATTGAGCATGCATGCCTACCGTATATTGTTACCCAGTGAAACTGACGATAGCCGATTTAATTTGCGAAAAGCATATGCTCACAGTCACAGACTCAGTTCAGCCATATAATAAACCGATTATTGACATCGCTTGTTCGGTCTGTACTGCGAAATATCAGACCTCTGTTTTTTGCATGGACCGCTTGCTCCTTCGTCGCTCGGTCCATACTAAAAAACTTCGGTCTGATATTTCACAGTACAGACCTCACGCTCCGTCAATAAGCCGTTAGAATTGAACGCTAACTCGATGAAAAACTTAAATAACTCTTTCCTAATTAAGAAAACTATAAATATATACCTGTATGACTTTGGTAAGTAAGTTATAACTTGATATTACAAGCATCCGCGGTCACTATGGTCAAACATTTGCATGATTGTCATCTCTTGGTAACACATAATTTTAACTTACATTTATAGCGATTTATCCGTCCATTGCCAAAGTTTCCCTGCTTTGTTATATCACATTATATCATAACGGCTTGAAAATTTCACTCAAATAAGTTTTGCTAGTATTTTTAATTAAGGTAAATACTTTTTCATTTTAAGAAGAGAAGAATGCGATATTTTTCACCAGAACTCAACTTTTACTTATATAGCTAGCCTGCGAACAGGCTCTCAAGCTGAATTGAGAGCCTGCATCGATGACTAATGAATTTGAATATCTGCGTTTCAAATCGTGACGCGAAATTCTCATTGGTCAGATGCTATAATTTATATGTTTCCGCTGAGCTCTATATATGTCAACTGCTGAAGCACTATGCATAAAAAACACATTAACTGATCAAATTGGTCTTGGCCGTCTTATCTCAAAGCACGAAATGTTCTGTTTTGAGAAAACGGTATCATAGATTAAAAGTATTTAAAACATTTGAACTTTTGCTTGAATATCTTATATTTCGAAAAACAGTATAAACTGTACGGTCTAAATTTAGTTTCCACGGTCTAAATTTAGTTTGCACGAAAGTTGTAAACAACACCATATAAGGATAGACATTCCATATTTGGAAAAACGAACGTTACGGGGCAGATATTCAAATTCATTGATCATCGATGCAGGCTCTCAATTCAGCTTGAGAGCCTGTTCGCAGGCTATTATATAGCACGACCGCCGTATTTATCTTATTTTGAAGCAATCTGTGACCGTTACTCGAGGACGGCTTTAAACTGATTGGGTGTTTTAGCGCCATTCACATCAGTTTGTTACAGATTTTTGCATTGTTTTTACAGATTTTGCACTGCTGTTTGAGATTAACTGCACTGAAATACATGGGCTTATGGGCCTAATCTTGCCGTTTGGGGGGGGGGGGGCAAAGCATAGTTTGCCCGAACAGGCAAACTGAACATTAAGATTAATATTTCTCCCCAAAAATGATGGCGAGCGGGGGGGGGGGGGATTTTCCGGACATATCAAATACTTTTCTACAAACATACGAAAATTTTGCCGGACATATCAAAAAATTTTCCCTAACATCATAATTAATTATAATTTTCGCAAAGATACAATAATTTTTTCAGAAAATATTAAAATTTTTCCGAAATTTTTATGTTTTGCCCGAATGTCGCATTGATTTTTGCTGAAATAAACCAATCACAGTCGTCGACTTACATTTTTATGTATGATATTGTATGATGTAAATGAACTGTTTGTGCAAAATGAAATAATTATCATTTATAGACTTGGAGCGAGGGGATTCGGCGAAATATTATACGAAGTGATTATATTTCGCGAGGGCGAGCGGAGGGTCGTTAAATGATATATTATACCGAAAGTTAAAAAACTCAGTATGTTGAGAATAAACTTGCTGAATAACTAAGCGAATACAATGTTTAATTTCTTATTTATACAATATTTTGACGTTTTCTGTTTATAATATTCGACCTGAATCTGTATCCTTTGGATCATTGAAGGTAACATATGTCTTGATAATCTTTTGTTAATTAATTAAATCAATAAATCTTTTGTACGAAATTACAAACAACAGCTCACGAACGCCATATTGTTTCAGCGCGTGGTGTCGACTCGTCACGCGTGAACGTGAGATACATTGCAAAATCATGAATTTGAGTGAAATACCGTCAAATATATTATACCTCAATTCAAATTCTCCAATAAAAAACAGCATTTGTACCACGTGAAAATGTGAGTTTTTACGGTATCTCACTCAAATTCATGATTTCGCAATGCATGCAGCATGAGATACTATAATATCCCACTGTAGATCCACCGTGGGTTTTTATAGTATCTCACGCGTGATGCGTGGACACCATGCGCTGAAACAATATACATGCATACATACATACATACATACATACATACATCGCCTTTATTTAAAACACGGTAAACCTTCAGTAATATTACATAATATAGTCAAAATTATTCTAAGCTTAAAAATATTTGGATTCACATAGTATATATAAAAATATAACAAATATGGGGCTACTGTTCTACCAGGTTGCCGTGTGGGAGTCGGACAAGAGTTAAATAGCATTATTAGTGTAAAATACGTTTAATATCCGTATATATATATCCCACAGTCTTGTCAACAACAAGTCTTTTATATCATACTAAATACTAATTTACATAAACTGTCATGCTATATGTGACATCTCCCGTTCTTTCTTTTTTCTTTTTTTTCTATTTTTTCATGCATAGTTCCTAACTATTAAACAATTCAACTGGTGTTCAAGTCCGAACTAAAGTTTCTAAAATATCCTAATTATACTAAATTCATCTTATACTATATATATACATTCCTTTATACTTAACTAGATGTTCTCAATCAATCGGGAAGGTGCCCTTCGAACTCTTGTACTTCTTCTCAATGGTGTTCGTACGTGTTCTTCCTCTATTTCTGTACTCGGGAATATAACTGGAGAACGAACTGGTGAACGTACGGTACTTGGAGCTATACCTGAACAACGTTCTTCTTCGCCGACAGGTTCCATTGGTGGTGTAATAATCATTGGTGGTTCGTTAGTTGGCATTAGATGCTGGCGATTTCTGCGTAACTGAGTTCCATTTGAAGTTGCCACAATGTACGAACGAGGTAATTTATGTTGTTCAACGACCACGGCTGGATTCCATACACCTCCCTGTCGAATCCTCACCGACTCGTTTGGCTGTAAACTGGATAACTGTTTCGTTCCCTGATCATATGCTGCTTTCTGACGCAACTGACGTACTCTCAATCTCTGGCGAACATCATTGATTGGCTGTGACTTAGGTTTAAGAAGATGCTTAGGAATTGGTAACTTAGCTCTCAATTTTCTACTCATCAACAGTTCTGCAGGCGATTGTTCCATACCACTAATTGGAGAATTACGGAACTCCAACAAGGCTAAAAATGCATCTTGTTTCGAATCATTTGATTTTTTCATTGTCTGAACGTTTCTTTCCACGAGCCCATTTGAACGCGGATAGTGTGGGCTGCTTGTCACCACCTCAATCTAAGGCTGTTGAAATGCATATTATCAGCTATAATTTTTTCTGGAATGCCATGACGGGCAAACATTTCTTTCATTGCCAAGATGACGGCTTCACTATTCTTGTGATTTATCCTTGTTACTTCAGGATACTTCGAGAAATAATCGACTACCAATAAATAGTCTCTTCCTTTATAATAAAATATGTCCGCTGCAACGGTTGACCACGGCCTCTCTGGAATTTCCTGCGGCATCAACGGCTCCCTCTGATTCCTTCGCTGAAATTGTAAACATGTTCTGCATTCTCACACCATTTCATCAATTGCACTATTCATTCCAGGCCAGAACACTGAACCTCTCGCCCGTGCTTTACACTTCTCGATTCCCAAATGAGCTGCATGTATCCGATCCAGCATTCCTGGTCTAAGAACATGTGGAACAATTACACGATCTCCTTTAAACATCAAGCCATCATAACCGCTTATTTCATCTCTGTAACTCCAATAAGGTCGAATTTCTAAGGGCGTTTCAGGCTTTGTCTGTGGCCAACCATCCATGACTACTCTGTGCAACTGCTGAAGTTCAGCATCCTTCTTGGTCTCCTCAACCAACTTCTCAAACATAGTCTCAGACATCTGACCCGATTCCAGAACATTGACTTCAAATTCATCTGATCGATCGTTTATCTGTGCAGACATCTGTGATCTAGAAAGAGCATCTGCTATCAACAACTGACTCCCAGGCGTATATTTCACTTTAATCGCATAAGGTTTAAGTCTAAGTATCATTCTCTGCAATCTAAGCGGAGCTTGATGGATGGATTTCTTTAGTATTGCTTCTAACGGTTGATGGTCACTTTCCACGATTACTTCGCGTTGTCCGTATAGGTATTGATGGAAATGCTCACAACCATAAACTATTGCAAGCATTTCTTTTTCAATCTGTGAGTAGTTCTGCTGACATGAAGTTAACGCTTTCGACGCATACGCTACTGGACGATCATTTTGAAGAAGCACTGCACCCATACCTTTCGAGCTGGCATCAACCGACAAGCACACGGATTGTTTCTGATCAAAGAATTTGAGGACTGGTGGATCGACAATCGCTGCCTTTAAAGTTGTAAACGCTTGTCTTTGCTCTTGATCCCAAACCCATTCGACATTTTTCTCCAGCAACTGACGTAGTGGAGCTGTTATCTGTGTCATATTTGGAATGAACTTGGCAACATACGTAACAATGCCCAAAAATCTCTTCAACTCTTCGCAATTTGTAGGCTGCGGCATCTCCTTAATCACTTCAATTTTCCGGGGGTCTGGTTTCAGTCCATCTGAACTCAAAACATGGCCAACATAACTTACTTCGGGGACACGAAATCGACACTTCTCTGGATTCAACTTAAGGTTTTTTATCTCGACAGCGTTCTAAGACCAAACGAAGTCGTTCGTCATGTTTCGTCACGTCTTCTCCCCAGACCACCAAATCGTCCACGATAACTTCGACTCCTTCTATATCTGAAAACATATTCGACATAATACTCTGAAATACTTCCGGAGCAGAAGCTATTCCAAACGGTAATCGTTTATAACTATACCTTCCAAATGGAGTATTAAACGTGGCTAAGTTACTGCTTTCATTGGCCAATTTCACCTGCCAGAAACCATGGTTGGCATCAAGAACACTAAACACTTTGGCATTGGGCATTCTGCTGACAACTTCTTCAACGGTCTGCATAGGAAAATGCTCTCGCATAACCACTTTATTTAAATCGCTAGGATCCATGCAGACTCGAATTTTATTATTTGCTTTTCTGGCAATGACTAAACTATGTACCCAAGCGGTGGGTTCATTCTTTTTCTCAATAACCCCCAACTTCTCCATTCGACGCAACTCTTCTTCTAGTGGCTTTCGGAGGGCCATAGTAACTCTTCGAGGAGGATGCACCACTGGAATGGACACCGGATCAATCTTAATCTGGTACTGAACATCTTTAATCTCTCCCAGACCTTCGAAAACGTCACTGAATTCTGTTTCGATCTTCGGTGGGTCCACTTCCAAGCTATAAACTCGCTTTACCAACCCGAGTTCTAGACAGGATTTTAATCCTAAAATCGATGGTAGATCTTGTTCAACTAGTACAAAGTCTAACACGGTAAATTTGCCTTTATACTCGCACTCTAAGCTGACTTTTCCTTTCGGAGTTATCTTACGGCCATCGAACATCTTCAACTTGCTCTTATTTTTGAAAATTCTTGTATTTGTTAGTGACAATTGCTCAAACGACGATTGCGAAATCACATTACAATCTGCCCCCGTATCTAATTTAAAATTCAAATCCGTTTTTCCAAACTTAAGCTGGACATGCCAGTCATTCTTTGAGCTGCCCTCGTTATTTGACTCTACTGAAAATGTCAATAAATCATCCTCGCTAACTTTGCCGTCTTCGAATTCCCCCAAGACATTCACTTCTCTCGGTCTAGAGTCACGTTGTCGTTGCTTCGCTCGACACACACGCTCAAAATGTCCTGTCTTCTCAGATATATGTCACAGTTCTGTAAAATATCTGCAAAATATATGTACGAAAGTATCTGTCACATATCTGCAACATATAGGAATTTGGCCCCATAACATATCTGTCACAGTTATGTGACAGATATCTGTCACAGTTATGTGACAGATATCTGTCACAGTTATGTAACAGATATCTGTCACAGTTATATGACAGATATCTGTCACATATCTGCAACATATAGGAATTTGGCCCAATAACATATCTGTCACAGTTATGTGACAGTATAGTTTCCCCTACAGATAAAATTATCTGTATATTATCTGCCAAGCAGATATGTCACATAACTGCAACCAAGTGAGTTTTATTTCTTGCATAAAACTATTTCCTCTTACTTCTGCAACATCAAGTTGCTGCAAATGTACCTCTGTCATGTTCACTTGAAGCCGTAATAATTTAATATGAAGAAATACTAGATCAGATTATTAAATGTTTTATTAGTAAATATATAATTATAGGTTACACATATAATTATGCACTGTACAATCAAATTTTCTACAGGGACCAGTTGTTCAAGGCTGGATTAACTTAACCCTAGGTTAACCTGACAGCTTGTCTATAAATGTAGAAATATTTCTTCAGAGATCTTGTCTGGATCGATACGAGTTTTCTTCTCTGAAGTTTAAAATAAACAGACGTGTACAGTAGAAATACACAAACTAAAACAGCAGGCTAAATTTTAACCAAGGGTTAGCGCTAGTCCAGCATTGAACACCGGCCCCTGGGGCAGAGTAATTACACTTTATACTATTATAACCTACACTTATTTAATTAAAATTTCCTAATATTATATAATTTTATTTATATACATGGCCAGAAATAAATAATGAGTACCTAAAAGTCATTAATTGTTAATGTCAAGTCTCACTCAGCTGGTTTGCTTTTAGTTACTCCTCTTCGAGCCCCACAGCATTGGTCCTGTACCTTGTACTGCATAGCAGCTGTCTTTCCATAGACTGTATAATCCAGACCAAAAGCTGAAAAAATAGGAACTGATAAAATCAGATTTATTTAATATGTTTTAAATTTAATTGGCATTGAGACAGCAAGAATAATCTAGATAGTGTTAGGCCAAATAGGGGATTCCCTTGTGGTAGCCGTGTCTAATGGGTTACCAGATATATAATTGGCTTAATTAACCATCTACTAGGTTACATTTGATTTAATACTATTTTTGTAAAGTATATTACAGGAGACATTAGGACTTACTAATGAGTTAAAGGCCAAAGAAATCACCAACCCTAATCTTTTTATAAATAGGAGATATTATTTTTGCATATGAGAAATAGAAACCCAGACATTTCTTTTTTTGGACTTAGTATGAAGCATGGAAATATAGTCAAAATTGTTTGGTATCTGACAGAGTAAATTAACAAGACAGAGTAAATTAATTTAACAAGACAAAGCACATTTGGCCAAATTGCAGGTCAATGGGTCCAGCTCACAGCCCCTCCCCCTGCATTATAGCAGGCCTATGGACAGCTGTACGCCTGTTAGCCTGTACCTGTACCATACTGTAACGACTCATTCATGACAGAAAATAGGCTATTGCACACCGACCCTACATATTTCTGGCATAATTTAGATTATTAAAGCATCAAACTACTAAAGCCCTGGGGCAGGTTGTTCAAAGCTGGGTTACAGTAGCCAACTAAAATTCAATCCAAACTTCCTGACAGCTTGTCTACAAATTTGAAAATATTTCTTCAGATAACTTGTTTGGATCGATAGGAGTTTATTTTTTTGAAGTTTTTAAACAAACAGACTTGTAGAAATACATGAACTAAAACAGCAAGTTAAATTTAACCCAGGGTTAGCGCTAACCCACCTTTGAACAACCGGCCCCTGTTGTACACTATGCTCAATTTTTGGTACGGCACAGATAAACCTGGTGCCTGTACCAAATTTATTTGTGCTCGGCCTGTATGAATAGGTAGTCCAAGCTTGGTAAACATGTTACAGGTACCAAAATTGAGCACAGTGTCGGTGTTAACAGGCCTTAAATCACAGGATTCATGTGTAATTTTGTTGTTACTAGTTACTAAATTTTTGTAGGGGCTGTTTATAAGAACAAGACTGATTTATCTGGCCTGGGTGGCCACCTTAGCTGGGCTAGTTTGTCATTTTAACTAAAAGCAGACTATTTATTCTTGTTAATTCTTACCTTACAACACCAGTTTGTCAACTCAATTCAGATCTGATTGTTGTGACTTGAGAACAATATTTGGAGCTAGGCTATAACCCAGTTCCAATATTAATCTGAAAATATATAAAGAGAACATTTGAGGCATTGTCTCAGCGCTTGTACATCTTCCAGCTTTTACAAACATATCATTTTATACAACTGAAGCCCTTGACATGTAAAATTGTCTGGCATTAGGAAAAGTAAAGCAACACAGTTGCAGCTTAATGGGTTAAGGATAAATACACTGATATATCACATTCAATGCTGTAATTCTTCTGTAATTACAATCCTTATTCATGTATTAAAATGCTAACATATCTTTAACAGCATTCAAATGTTTAATATATTATTTCGTATTGTTAAAAGCACAAGTATGTTTAATATATTATTTCATATAGTTTTATTATTAAGTTTAATATACACCCTTGACAAAGGTCTAGAAAAGTGCCAAATTATCACTGTATATGCCATTAATGCCAAAGACAATTATTGCTAAATTGTTGATATTAATAGTGCATTAGTGCACAATTTAGTACAGAATTTACTATAATAGATTCGAATTGATATTTTATTCTTTCTTTCCTTGCCAGAAACCAACATTTCGTATGTTTCTTATGCAAATTGAACGCGGCAAATTCAAAATTATATTCAACAGAATTTCAGACACATGGCTCAATTAACAATCATATTTTCACTACATTCTTTCGCAATTAAAATGCTTGAATAACAAGTCAAAATAAAACTATTCTTACCTGTGAGAACTGAATAACATTTTACGGACTTTTCCATGCCTTTTCCATCGTTTGGGTTTAAAATTTCGATAAATTTCTTCACCATGTAAGACATGTAAATGTGCTTTCAAATTTTTAGCACAAAAATTCGAAACGATGCTATCCCATGACACTTTGCGCTCCCACACTTAAACTAGGCACCAGGCCTCCACGCAATGCGCGAAATATTGCTTCAGTTGTCATGTAAGGCATGTAATGAATATAAGGAATATTCACAAATGTTTTCAATCAGTTATTGCCTGTTAATTTATTTATAATAAATTCTCGGAAAATGAAAATTCTCTACAATGATTCTATATAACATGGAAAGAAATTAAATTAGAATGTAGTTATATGGTACGGCCAGGGGCAGGGACGATGGAAAGTGGGTGGGGCAAGGTCTCCTTTCCTAAAGGGGGCAAATGTAACATTTTAATATAAATAAAACACAATATTTTTGTCCCAAACTTACTTTAATAACAAATTAATTAATTAACAAAGATAAATATGATAGAAGAGAATTTGTATATTTAATTAGGTATTTCCCAAAGTCCTGGATGTAGTTGCACAAATCCCCTTGTTGGAGGGACAAGAAATATAGCATCACACGTTTAAATTAAAGTTTAATGTAAAAAGAAGATATTTCATTTTTTGGTCATGTAAAAAGTTGATATTTGATAGTAGATACTTCTACTCTTTCACATATTTGATGCCTGTCTCCATATATTTTGTCCCTCCAAACGACCCCAGAATATGCACTGTGATCTCTTTTGAAAAAAGCCAATTACAGTAATGTGAATATACTAACCCATATAGAAACTAAATCCAGGATGACATTTGACACCTTGTTAAAATTTTCCTTATTTCAAGAAAAAATGTCTTGCAAATCAAGTACTTCTCATTTTGAAAATCCGTTTTCTAATTAAGAAAATTAGTTTCTCATTTCAACAAATATTTTCTTGAAGTAAGAATTGTTTTCTCAATAAGAAATTTTTTTTGCTGTGTAGTTACAGATACTGTATAACTATATTGACAGACAATTGGCATATCCACATATATCTGCAATTTTTATGCAGATATTTTGCAGATATTTCGACAGACAATTGACATATCTGCAAATATCTGCAACTTTTATGCAGATATTTTGCAGATATGTTAACAGATAATCAACATGCATATCTGTAAAATATCTGCAACTTTTATGCAGATATTTTGCAGATATTATAGATAGATAGATAGATAGATAGATAGATAGATAGATAGATAGATAGATAGATAGATAGATAGATAGATAGATAGATAGATATTTTATTAAAAGCCACTTTGCAGCCACTTTAGCTGAATTACGTAGATTTTTACAATAGTATATAAATTTAAATATTAGACATGTTAGCCTACTAAATTATTATAATATATCATAGATGGCACAAAAGTGTTCCTAAAGCGGTTAGTGTTAGTCATTGGAAGAGCATAGAGGCGTTTGTGTCTTAAGTTATATTTCGCTTGGTGTTTTGGCGGCAGCAGTGCATGGAATTTATGGTCACTGTCAGATGATATTTTAAAGAAAAGCTTTTCACACAGTGTTTGTCTTCGGACCGATAAGGAGTTTAGTCCAGATTGCTGCAGGCTCTCTGAATATGGCTGCCCTCTGTAAATTATAGCCAAGGATCGTTTTTGTACTCGCTCAAGATCGTCAGACAAGTACTTTGGTAAAGAGTGGTGGAATGCCGGTGATGCGTATTCGAGAGTGGGTCTAATACAGGTACAATAAAAGTTAACAATATCTTCCTCAGGAACATTTGCACGCTTGAGTTGGACCAGACAATACAGACGTTTGTTCGCTTTCTTGATGACATGGTCGACATGGAGGTTCCATTGTAATGAGTTTGAGACTATCAGGCCCAGGATTTTTGCGTGGTCCACTATTTTGAGTGGAACGTTGTCTACTTCAATTGGGTCAAACTCCTGATGAACACGCTTAAAGTCGATCCTCAGCTCCTT